GCATCGCTACTAGGAGCAAGGACGCTACTAGGGGCTCCTGGCCGTACTACTAGGATCAAGTAGCTACTAGTAACAAAGGGCATTTCTAATAGTCTTGGAACCAAGATGGAACTAGAAAGCTCCGCCCCGCCCGATGTCGGGAGCTTGGAAGAAGCGTCTTCGCTATCCTGCTTCCTGTCCATACTAGTAGCGTACGTGCGTAAGGTGCCAGCAATCTCAGTTCCTTACTTAATTAAGTAGGCGCCGACTACTTACAGTCATTAAGTAAGGAGGGGGAGGAGCCGGCAAAAAAGGTATAATTAAAGCAACAAAACGTCAACAACGGGTGAATAACGACTAAGAAACCGAGAGGCAGATTTGTGACGAGGAAATTGCAAAGAACAATGTAAATAGCAAAACAACGAGAAAACAATGAGAAAACCAGAACGAGCAAACAGAACTGGAACAAACCCAGAAAACGAATTGACTGCCTTGTACAAACAAAAAGGAATCATTTACCGTTGCAGGATAGGCATTGTACAGCCGCAAGTCTGCAGGCTGCACGCACCAAAGCCATTTACCGAGACAGCCACCGAGAAAGGGTTCTGCCTGCTGCTGCCGCATCACTGGTGCACCCAGGTATGCTATTAAAAGGAAGTGCTAAGAAATATGTCATCGCCCAAAGCATTGCACTAATAATGCAGTGAAAGTCTACTGTAACTGCCTTGACATTGTAGATCGGCAACAAACAACACAAGCATCAGCAAAAAAATGCCAAAAATTGCTCAGCCTGGAGTGGAAGGGAATGAGTTGCAAAACAACAAGGTGTTGTGCATTGCGGCAACGAGTCATGAGACAGCTATAGAATAAACAAACATCAACCATGAGCACTTGGGCGGCCCGCAGCAAAGACTGCATGGACATACTGATACTAATTATAAATTGTGTATGATGTTGTTCTATGTTCTATGTATACATGTTCCATGCTTCCAGATTCCACGGTGATGTGCCGCGGTGCCACAGCTCTGCTAAACTGAAGAGGTCAATGCTTGGTCAAGTTCCCCCCGTACAAAGCTGTTAAAGGATTTTAGACAAACACTCTTGTGGTTGGTTTTTGGAGGGATGTGGAAGGAGAAGCAGCTGAATCCATCCACGAGGGTGGAATTTGATTTGTGATTGAAGTGCCCAGGAAAGTTGAAGTCTAGACCGCACACATTCCAAGTTCAAATCGAAATGTCTCAGAAAGCTGCAGGACCACATAGGGAAACTGGGCATCAGAACCACTGTCAAGTCAAAAGAGTGCACATGTGAAAATGAGGCATCAAATCACACATCTGCAACGCAGAGTCAAAAGCATCTGCAAATGCAGCGAAAGCACAGACAAAAACACATAGTTGCAGCAAGGGGGCAATCAAATTACTAAAACTTCGCAAGTTGCAAAAGTGTGCAAGTACACCAACAAACCAACAAGGAATACCCCTCCTGACTCTGCAAGGCTTCTTGACCAAGGCCGTGAAGATACTGCAAAGGTCCACCAGCCACGACAGCATTGAAGAGCGCAGACCAAAGAGTCTGAAAGGTATTCCTGGAAGAACCAGAATCACAGTTTTTAGAATAGCAAACTATATAACTTGTTTTAAACTTATACAACTATTTTGGACCTTTCTTCCTTTTCTTTTCTTTGTTTCTAATAGCAATGGCCTCCAACCTAATAGCGATGACAAGTATTCAGTATTCCTGGAAGAATCACACATGCAAGAACATGTTTATGTTTGTAAAGCTATGCAATTTCACAAGCTTTTCACAACCACTTTCTCGTGTTGTTGTTGTTTTTTTTCTCATGGACCTGAAGCACCTTGGCCGATGAATCTGATGAATTCAATGAGAGTTTTGCAAAAACTTGCCGGGCACAGCTTGACTCACCCGGCTGAAGTCTTATGCTCATCCCACAGTTTTGAATGCACATAGAAAAACTGTCAAACCACACCACTACAGCCTTCTTGTCTTGTCTTCTTTAGACGTTCAGACTCAGTTTTGGTTTTTATTCCTTTCCTATACATATATATACACACACCAGCGCCGTGTTGCTGGCTATTTTAGGAACACGATCAGCCTAGATTAGCGTAGTTGTGCCCAAACAATATGCTGGTACTGGAGTGGCACAAGTTATTGAAACAGATCAAATTTTCTGCTCTTGAAATGCAGCTCAGCATCTCTATGGTGAGTAGTTCTCTGTCGGCATCTACGCATGCCTGGTCGAGGACCAGGGGTCAAACAAAAGTTCTTAGACAGGGTGAAAGGACGTCACCTTGTTTAAGGCCCAATTACCTTCTTATTTGCCTTTTCCTTTTTAGCATTGCTGTACATACGTGATCATACGTGTATATTGCATCTGTAAAACTTTGCACATGTGTGGACCGCTTTCCACCCACTGCTCCGCTGCCTGTAAGGCGAGGCAAGTTCCCTGCATTAGTGCAAAAGGTGGCATAGGACTTGATGAGGATGCTAAGCCCTGGCGTCAAAGTCAGCAAGTGCCTTGCCTCCATGGCATGTGCTTTTATTGCGGTGCAAAGTGTGCAAATGAAATACCAGCTCCACAAAGATATCGTAGATGAACGGTCAAATTGCTCGAACCATCTCGAGTATCCTTGGACTTGGAGGCATATATGGTGGTTTGCCAAAACTTAAGTTCCAATGACCATATAAAGAACCACTTGAGCTCGCCCGTTGCGCCTGTTTGCGTTCCCCACATGTTTTGTTTATGTTTTAAGATTCTCTGTTTGGTTAATTAGCCGGCGGTTGTCTGACAA